GAAGGAAAAAGAGGGGGACACTGAGTTATTGACACCTTCTGAAAAACGTGAGGCAGCTTCCTCCAGCAGTAACCATTCCTGTGGGTCTATACTCCTCTGAGTGTGGTCCTCTCAAGACAAAAAGCAAACAAACAAAAATCCCTTCTTCTTAAAATACATCTCATTTCCTGCTGGTAGCAAGAAAACCTCCTGTCTTGCAGTGACATCCTTGTTCACAGATGTTAAGCAGCCTGATGCTTAGGCTGGAAATGCTGCTGGGTTTCCCTTTATTACATCAGGATTGGGGTTCATCTATGGTGTAGCTGGGGTCAGAACAGTCCTGGAGAAGCCCTTCAATATGTAAACCAAATGTCACCCAAAGGGGCACAGGCGCAGCACCACGGAGCCATATGGTGCCTTTATGAATGAGATTTAGTCAGGAGAATTCATAAGCAGAGAAGTGTCAGAACACAACTGATCCCACGTTGTCACTGTCCCATGGAAGGGTACACTTGGGCTGGTGCAGTATATTCCCGTGGCCAGTGTCTGGGCGTGAGGATGCTCCCAAATGCTCTGCGTATTTACCAGGACAGCCAGGCAGAAACATCTTTACTACCACGACACAACAGTAGGTCTGGTTGGAAGAAGTGATCCGGTTAAAAGTGGGAGCCTCTGGAGCTCAGGGCCCGGCATTGACCTGTTTTTTCCAAGTCAGTTCATATCTGCTGACCCAGCTCTCCTCTCTAACAAGGCTGGAGGAAATGTGCCTTGAGGGCAGCTAGCTCCGGGTCTCAGCTGATTTTCCAGTCTCACTGCAGCTGCTCCCCAGGCTCCCCAGCACCTGCGAAGATCCTCTCAAACATTTCCAAGAGTCGCACAGGGTTATTTCCAATATTACATCTACGTTTTTTATTGTCTTCTGGATATTGCTACAACTTATTGGTGTTTTTGTGGCTGCTACTTTGCTATGTCATTTCGCTACACTAAACAAGTGTAACAATTTATTTAATCCCTTTTCTGTAAATACTTTTCTCCATTTTCTGTTAATAGCTTCCACCTCGGCTTTTGTTCTTTGTTTCCTACTAAATAGTGGGTCCTTTAACATTTTCCTGGCCATATACCCTGGTATTACTTTATGTTACTTAATGCTGTAGCGCTTTGTGTTACTAGAACACTCTCACTGCAGTATTTTAAAAATCAATCCTGTTAAAACTTTAATCTCAACTCTGATATAACAATACAAAGCTCAGTTTCTCGTCTCTCTCAAGTGAGTCAGTGCTCTGACCCTGGCTATTGGTGTCAGAATATGCATTTATTATGGTAAATAGATGTTATAACAAATAAACCCCCAAATTTCAGTGACTCCACAAAATAGAAGGTTACTTTTGCCTGTAAGCTGCCCGGTGCGTTTCTAATTGAGCAGTGTGTTGGTGGGGGAGGTTGGGACACAGCACTGTCTGCTCCATGCAGTCACTCAGGGGCTCAGGCTGACACTGTTGGTACCATGTTCATTACATGATCATTTTCCTTCAGAAGAAGGGAGATTACAGCACATAGAAGAGCATGTGTGTGTGTATTTTTTCATATTGATTTGTAGGTGAATATTTAGATAATACTCTTTCACATATTTTTAAGATTTTATTTCTGTAGAAGAGTTTTAGTTTCACAGCAAAACTGAGGGGAATCTATAGACATTTTCCTCACACTCCCTGCCCTCATACATGCATAGTAGCTC